TGAAATGATGAACAGTAATGAAACGGCAACAAGTGATACGAAACAAAATTGATTAAAATAGGGCGATAATAAACTAACAGACCTATATGGCAAAACGGTGCAGAGGTAAATCTTTCAGAGATCTCTTAATTAAGATGAGAGCGTATCAAATTATTGATATCTGTTACTTGCAATGCATTGGGAACTAGCGTTGTTCAATATATGTGTAAGAATTTAAGAACTTTTTTTCTAATCGACGCCCAGTGGCCCAGTTGTTTAAGGCCTGTACGAAGAAAGTATCGGGTTTGATTCTCGAGAGTGGGATTTTTTTTTCGCTTTTCTGTTCTTTAACGTTCAAACTTTATAAAGCCTATGATATAGCATTACCACCAGGTTTAGGGTTTGTCTTTATATTTTACTATTATCCAAATTTAGAAATTCGACGTTGTTCAGATGTGCCTATGTAATCAGCATTAATGTGGTGATTAACGTCGGAGCTTACGATAGGAGCCCCCATGGGAGGGTAGGGTTGAAGAGGGTTTGAGGTTTGTCTTCGCTATTGCTTGTTCATCAACCGTACTGGACCATGCCATACAACTGGAACAGAGTTAGGTCACAAACTCGATGGATAGATATGTGTAAACTCGATAGGGAGTTATGTATGAACTCGATGGGTAGTTATGTAATCTCGATGGGTAGTTATGTCTATTCGATGGGTAGTTATGTCACCTCAATGTTGGTAGTTATGTCGACTTGATTGGTAGTTATACATAATGTCGATGGGTAGTTAAGTAAACTCGGTGAGTAGATGTGACCTCGATGGGTACGGTAGGTTTGTGAACTCAATGTGTTTATGTCCGCCCTGGCGTTTCATACGTTTACTCTGCTCAAACACACTACTTTACCTCGGGCCCAAGAGAGTGTGAATGATGCGTGTAGGTTACAGGGTGTTATCAAGTCAAGTAGTCCTCAGGAGAATCCTTACCACTTGATCTTTTCGATGACAACTCAGCTTTTTCTTGTTTAAAGCGAGAGTAACATCGTGATTCTCTTTAAAAGTGTGCGTGAACAATTGAGACGACATATTCAAATCACAGCCAATAAGTGAACTCATAATTATTATATTTCCATATTCATACATGATGAAAAATTATTAACATATGGAACTACTACCCATCCTAATCGTAAAATAACTACCGTACCATTTGCCTATATACTGAAGTATTTATAGAACAAATAGTAGTCTTATAATATCCTATACCTTATTCTGTGTTGTCCAAAGGCGGTCTTGTAATTAATATGTGATACGTTCGTTAGAGTGGAGGTATGTATTCACCATGTTTTCTAGTTTAGAATGATATTTATAACTATTCATTTTCACATAAGGGCCTATGACAATCACCTATAGCATTTGTTTAAAATCGCAATGAATGCCCCTGTCGAAAATATTTTGCGAATCACGACATCATCACCCTATTATATTATTAAATTCCAAAAGAAATCAAGCTTTTGTTGTCAATTTTCTGCGGAGAAAATCTAGTCTGAGGTGTTATACAGAGATGAGACTAAGATGGACACCAAGAAGATACCACCTCATTGCACTAATTGTCTTAACTATCCAGAGAAATTTAGTTCGAAAGTCACGTAAGAAAAACAAGTAAGCACTCTCTAAAAAGATCTGGCGCCAAGGCTGTGATGGTTATAGGCCTTGTTGATAAGAGATGTCAAACCTAAACGTGAAAAAAAGAATACGTAAGTTCAGACAAAAAATATAAAATTCGTTATTTAGGTTTTATAATAAAACTCCGAGAAGAAAGTGAAAATTTATTTATTTCATTACATTGTTTTCTCAATATATAATGATATATATATATTATGATATATATTATATCTGTCTCTTATACACAT